GGCTTTTAGACTTGGCTCAGCTAGGATGGGGTGAATATGGACTTACTTGCGAAGTAAACTCAGCTTCTGCCACTTCTTCATGTGCGGGGATCTCATCTTGACTCACTAATGGGGAGGATGCAGATTGTCCCTGGCCACTACTTGCAGTGTCTGAAGCCTCATAATGGGAACCTAAAACCTCCCTCACAGCCTGTTCCAAACCAACCCCCTGAATTTCTTGCCCATCTAGGTCTCCAGGCGCTTCTGTTGCCGCGAAATGCTCGTTGGCCGCGGTCCCGGGTAGGTCGTTGCTCGACGCTATTGGTGGGGAAGATAACCCCTCTTCCACCAGCGATACCTGCTCCGGTCGCGAGGATGTGTGGTGGTCAGGGAATTCCCCGTCTCTCTCAACAGTGGCCAGGTGCTCTTTCTCGCCGGGACCCAAGAGATCGAGCCGGATCTGGTCGCCAAGATTGGCTCGTCTCTGTTCCTGCGCGACAATTTCGTTTTGTCGGTTTTGCTCGTCGGCCTGAAGACTCTCTACACGAAGCGTATGCTCGGCTTCTGTTTGCTGCAGTCTGTTGAGCCTTTGAAGCGCCTCCTGCTCTTCACCCCTCAGTGTAAGAAGTCTCGTTTCTTGGAGCGCCATGTCGTTTCTCAGCTGTTCAATGTTTGCAGAAAGCTGCTGTTCGGTGGCCGCCAGTCGTTCCAGCCGCACTTCTTGCCTCTCCAGCCTCCTTGGTCGCCGCTCGGCGACCTCCAGTACTTGCTCGGGCATTTGTGCTCCTGAAATCACAGGCAAGCGTTGCTCGTGTCTACTGCTTTGGTCAAGCATGTGCATGTCTTCCGCCGATGCAAGATCGTCAATGGAAATGCCGAGATCCTTGCCGAAGAAGGCAAAGAATGTTGATCGCTGGATGAAAATTGATGTCAAACGCAAACGAGGTCTTGGCATCGGCCGATGAAGCCTGTGCAGGAACATCTGCTTTTTGTCGTGAGCATGATCCGCTGCATGGGGTTTGCCGCACAGAGCTGGTGGTCGCTCGGCACAATCGATGTCATCTTCATCCGTCAATGACTGCCTGGAAATGGGCTGCGCCGTGGCCAGCACATCCGTGACGGTATCAATGCTAGCGTTTATATCGTCGAATTCGAATTCCTCTGGTTTTCTTGCTGTGATCAGCAGTCGACGTGCAATCTCCCGGTCCGGATCCATCTCCACTAAAGCCTTAATCTCATCGGATTTGAATCCGAGCCTTTGTGCCAGACGGGCAAATCGAGAAACCACAACCTCATCGGCCTGTTGGGCCTTGGCCGTCGCCAGTTTTTCCTTGCGCTTGATTGGCATTTCCCGCTGCTCACGCAGGGCGTACAGCCACAACTGTCGGTACGCAATGTCGAAGCTATCTGCGGCAATGATCGGGATCGTCGTGAAAGACGCCGAAGAGGTCTGCATGAAGCACGCGTCGCCATCTCCTGGAGAGAATGCGATCTCAAAAGCACATCGTATAGATTGCTTCCTCTCTAGATGGACGAGTCGTCGCATGCAGTCCGCTGCAGGCTGCAGGTACTTGAGATTCTCGAAGAAGGCAAGTAGCGAAGGGACCAAGCAGTCCTTGGTGGCCGAACAAAGTCGTAACCAAATTCTATTTCTCTCGGTATCGCTGAATGCACTGAAAATCTGGCCACTGTTGACCTTTTCATAAAGATGACGAGCCTGTCGTTCGCATGCGCCGGGTGCGGTGAGCTGAATCTTGTCAATGGTGTCTTCATCAAGTTTCTCCATCGCAGCTTCATCTCTGTCGAAGACGTTATACCAAAAATCCTTGATGAAGCGCAGGTATGCCAGTAATTCCTGTCTGTCAGCCCAGCTATAAAAGCAGGCGCGATCCGAACTTACTTTGTGACATCTCATGGCAATCATTTTATTGATGACGCTTAGCCGAAGCCCACAGTAGAGAGCTGGCAAATGGCGGAAGGCGTCAAATGCCGGTGCAAACTCACGATGTCCAAAGAGCTTCTCGAGCTGGCTTTTCCTGTGCTCCGAGTCTGTTATCGCACCAAGACGTGCCCACCACTTCTGTTCGAGGTATTCGTTCGGCTCTCCGAATATACCCTGGTATTCCCGTATCTTGCGAAAAAATACGCCATCCGCTGGTTTTTTCTCGCTTGAGTATTCTTCCATCAGATCTCTCCTCGCCTCGTCGCTTATATCTGCTAAGATTAGATCGGGCGTTGGACGTTCAATACGGCTACCACAAACCTGCGATGTAGAGGTCGACGACCCAATGCGGATCGAGCGACCGAGAAACTTCCTCGGAAGCTTGCACCCTGTCACGTCCACGCAAACATTGCATACGAAATCCAGATGGGAATTCTAACCTGGGCGGCTTGCTGCTGCATGACAGAAGCGATTCTCGACTTAATCCGGAGGCGTTCAGCGCTCTGTGTAAATCCGCCTCGTCAATGACAGCAGGTATGCGATTTTGCCGTTCAGCTGGGCTATAGCCACGCTGATTCTTGAACAGCCTAATTAAGCGCTTTACGTTATTACTGTTCGCGTTGGTGGAGTTGGGAAAGTCCAGGATGCTGAGTTGAACCTCTGCCGTGCCAGCGTGCTTGAGGCATTTCTCTGCGCATATGCGGCGAGATACCGCCTGAAATCCACTCCGAGCCATAATGGGGGATATTTTACAGCATTTGATACAGCCGGACCAGAAATTTGCGAATGCTTGGTGGAAAGGAAATGGCTTTATATTCATATGCTGTAACAGTTTTGCCGCCAAAACCTCTGTCACTAGCCTGTATAAGTACAGGGCACCCACACCCCGTGCGTGTGGCCAACTTTTGTGTCTCTACCCAACACGGTGAACTTCTGGCTACAATGAGTGCGCACTATAACAAAATCCGATACTCAGAAATTAAACTGCAGGATGTGCCAGCACGAGAGGCATTTGTCGCGCAGGATGGAAGGGAGATGAGCCATGACACACCGACCGAACCCCGCAACGCCCCCAAACGACTTAAGAAAAAACAGAGCCCAACTACGTCCACGGATGATTGCCAGCCTGCAAGAAAAAACGACGGCTCGATCACTCCTGCACCAGCGCCTGTTCGACTACCGCAAGACACCTACCTAAAGCTTTTTGACCTGCAGCTGGGGGATAGCGACTACTTCACCGTGGCAGAAGAGAAAAGCCCTGACCCAGAAAGGAATCCGGTTGTAATCATCAAGACTTTCACCGGCCGTAAGGCAGAAAGTCAAGTACAAGCAATACGCAGAATTCAGCACAACCAGTTTGTTGAAGCCAGAGAGTTCTTTCCTATAGAGGGGGGGTACCTAGTGTCTTTCGAATTCATGCCACTAGCACTATGCGAAATTGCGGGCAATCCTCTTCTGGATGATTTGCGACTGGCGTCCGTGGTCGGCCAGGTACGCTTTTAGTCTGCATGTGAACCACTTCGCCGCTAAACTCAGCAGATTGTCGACGGGCTGCTATACCTAGAACGAAATGGCCTAGAGCATTCGAGTCTTACAAGTTCCAACGTACTAGTAGACTTGTTTGGAAATATCAAGCTATGTAAGTCACGCTCATACCATGGTACATCCCCTACTGATATGGTCAGGGGGCCAAGAACATATTCGCACGTCGGTGGGAGCGTGCCAACATGCAAAGGCCGTGGGAGAAATTATCATGTACCTTGCCCATGGCCAAGCCAGGGACGATGGAAACGTGGGCCTGGATGATCCTCGACGATTCCCGCTAGCGTTCGGCTTTCTGTCCGCGACGCAAACTACCTCTAAATTAACCACTCTTTCTGAAGTAAGGCACACAGATAGGATTACAGGCCCCAAACAGTACTGACCGTAATAGAATGCTTTTCTAAGGCTTCCTTGGCACAAGAGACGAGTCGCAGGCATGGTTTCTATGACGAACACATGGGTGGGCTACGGATACAGATTTCCAGCAACAGCGGCAGGGGGATGTGTGATGTAGATTCTCGAACCTAACTAGTACTAGAGGGTGACAATACGTAGGGAACATGTATACAGGTTCAACGCTCAAAAAGTGACACTAGACATTTAATGATTCTTCATAGCGCAGCGAACATGTCACGGTTGGTATTCCGCGTATCTGACATCCATACCGCGGTACCGATTACGTCGCATCACTTCAACTAAGGTGTCCCGCATGGAACCGCACATACATACTGTTGGCATTAGTTGAATTTCATCCTTTGTAATGATATGAACTTGCCTGAAATAACCGTCCTACTCCCGCGTCGTCGTTGTCTTCGCTCCGAGCACAAGATATCAGCAAGGGGAATTGGACCCTGATACACTGTAGCTCTGCTTCCGAAATCCACCTCTTCTATGCTTTCGCCTGTAATATGAATAGACATGCGGAGATTCTGCATCACAGGGTAAGCATGGCATCCAGTTACTACATTCGGGTACGTACGTGTTGTCCACTGAGCTTGTCTTCGGCGAGAGCTTCAGTCAGCAACTTCTGCGCGGCAATACCCCCATCTATAACATGTCAGCAAGTGAATCTCAGTAAAATCCGTCTACTCACCTCTTCGCTCCATTTGCCATATGAGATGAACCTGGCGGACCGGAATCTCATGGCTTCGTTGATCATGCGCCAGCTTCTTGAGATACGGCAAGTGAGCGGCAATTCCGGATTCAGTAGCCAGCATGACAACATTTTCGTATCGACTAATGGGAAGCGGCTTTCCGTGCGGTCCGCTGAACCACGCCATGCTTGTTGTCGGGCCATGTTCTGCGAGCCTGAGTAGGTCCTTCGTGAAGCCGCGACGAGGCTCAATGAAGAGATCTAGATGCTCCTGTGGCTTTTGAGACCAGGACGTAACGACGAAGGGGTGTGTTTGAGAGAAGGCCCACAGGCTCACGGATGGAACCCAAAGATTGATGTACTGTCCAGCTCTCACCTTAAGCGGGCGAGACAGACGCAGACGGATTTGGGTCGTGCCATTGACAAGAGATATCTGCGCCAGAGAAAGGCCCGAACTATTACGATAGAGAACGCTGCCAAGCGAAATAATAGCGCTGAAAAGAAATAGAGTACCACATGAAAATATGGATAAGCTTGGAAAGAGTGTTCCGGATCGGATATGGCGCCAGAGCGCGTATGGAAGGGCGAGCGCCAATATCTGGTGCAATCGCAGGGCTGCTTCGTATCGGACGTTCCTCAATAAAAGAGGTATAAACTGGGTGCATAAAAGTACGATGGACTGCGAGCCGGGGTCTTAGCACTTCTCTGGAGTTGGATGCGTCCCAGAGTTAGATGTGTCTACTTACCACCAGGGCGAACGTGTCCTTGGGCGTTTGCAAATTGAGCTTTCCCGTGGTGGCTCCAGCTATAATCGCATGAAGCATTGCCAGCACGACAGCCAGGGTCCCTAGAGACGCATGGAGGCGGCGGCAAGAATGCAGTGAGAAGTAGAGAACATCTGCCAACATGCTCAGACATGGGCCTGAAAAACAAAATAGCAAATTTATTACCGAGAGCGTTCCGGTGCGAGTGACAACCTGAGCTATTCCTGGGAGAGGAATTACAATGCAGACACCTGTCGCCACAACATAGGCGAACAGCAACAAGCTGTCGGCACAACTCCAACGTTCAACAAAATTCCGCCTATGTATCACGGTCGGGTAGATAAGGTTGTCAGAGAAGTATCTGCCAACGACAGAGAAGGGCGAGAGCAGAAGCCTCAATGCGGGTGGGCAAAATGCACGTACCAGAAGGTAAGCAGGCCGGCGAAGGGCCAGCAGACCAAAGAAAGCACCAAATGCAATAGAGTAGAGGAGAGTGGACTCATACATTGCTACTATTGGCAAGGAGAGATGAAATTAAGGGAAAGTGACAGGGAATGCACCATTCATATACTGCTTGCCTGTGCGGAAGTCAACTACAGACAAGGTTGTGACACCAAAACCGCTCTCGCTACGTCAGCCTGGCTCTTCACACCGTCTTCTGTTGCAACCTCGCGCCTTGGCAAATAAATACCTCCGATTCTCAGGCACACACGTAGGCTATCGCAAATAATTCATTGCGTCTATGGCCGGTTTCGCCGCAATGCTGCCGTCACAGCAAGGAGAGATGAAGTTAACTGAAAGGGACAGGATCTCACCATTAAGAGGCTAGTTGCCAGTGCGAGTGCCCCGCTCGCCGCGCCAGACCGGTACTGGCACGTCTTCTGATGCGACCTTGCGCCGCAAGTACCTAACGGCTACTCTCAGACAAACACGCACGTCATCACAAATTGTTCGTTGATTACTATGCTTTTGAGTACGGTGTCGTGACCGACTCGACAATGAAGTGGCAGCATATTGTAACGACAAATCCGATACCGAAGGTGAAAGCAGTATACAAAGCGATATTGTTGCTTCTTCATCTAAAATACTATTGATTAAACAGCTGTAACTGGTCAGGACTCATTAACATCCCCGAGTACATTCCCGTGATTCCCGTGCACGAGAGCTCATGCATGCTTTCATCCACATCGCTGGCAATACCTAAACCCTCTTGCACGGCTTCTGAGCTGGGAGGGATGAATTCTTGCCCTTGGCCAGACGAAAAAGGCGTAAAATCCATGGGTTGGTCTTCCGTATATTCGTAATCGAGCATGCTTGGATCAATAAGAGAATTGAACGACGGTGTATTCGGAGGCGTTGCCGAGTCTCCTCCATCCGACGCAATGTGTGAAGTGACGTCAAAAAGAACCAGTTCCCGCAGTCCTCTCTGCCGACGGGTAGCGATATCTGCTTCAGGCAAATTCTCTAAAGGTATCTGCCACTCTGGCAAAACTTTGTTGTAGTAATAGTATGATAAAAAATCAGTGAGGACCGTGATGTCATATTTCGAGTTTGGATGCCTCGCCGCAATGCTGGTGAACAATGTAGCCCTATCCTCGATTTTAAGCCGTCGCGCGCTGCACACGTTAGTTATCGTGGTCATCGCGGGAGGTAGAGAACCCACTGCTCCTTCTGGAATTCAGCTGGGAGGAGCAGCAGCACGCCAGCGCCCCCACAAGCGGTCGCCAGCTGCTCCCAGAAACTCTGCTGGTGCATGAGGGCTTTCCATTTAGCCTGCAATCTCTCTCCCGACAGGCCTTCCTTAACAAACTCTGCGACCGTAAGAGGTTGGAAAGGGGGAAGTGGGATACTGCACCAAGGACAAGGGTACTCATCTGTTGGAGTTGAACAGCTTGCTTTTAGGAGGGACGTCTTCAAACCAGAACATGAAGCTAGTCGGGGTGGGAGAGCGGCTGTCAATGCAAGTAAGTGCTGGCGCTAGTCAGTGGCTGTCTGTTTGTGCTGGCTAGTGGTTGTCAGTACAGGCTAGTTGTACCAATTCAGCTATAATTACCCCTAATCGGTTATTCTAAGTGGCAGTGGCTGCTAGTGCCAGTAGACGTCAGTGACACTTTGTAGCGAGTTGATCCTGGTGATTACACCGAAATGCTTACCGATATGAAGAAGTCCTTCCTATCATCAATTTTATTTTCTGTTCAGAAGCAAACTCACTAGTCAATCGTTGGCCAGCGCTGCGACGACAGTGAATGGTCAGAGGATTACCCGTAAGCAGCAGCTTTTTTCCAGCACTCTATCCGCTGAAAACTTCTAAACAGAGCTGAAAATGCGGCAATAATAGTAAGAGAGGGTCTCAAATCTGCCGGGTCTTGACTCGTAAACAGTGCTGGAGGTTGCAGTACTGATAATAGACGGTCCCTTTCCAGCGCTCTGTCCTTGTCTTGACTAGATGTAAATGCTGCTGGACTGGTAAAGTCGGCCTACTTTACCAGCCCTGCAGCATTTACATCACTTCAGCAGTCTTTCCCTCTCTCGACTGGTAAACGGTGATGTAAATGCTGCAGTACGGGTAAAGAGGCAGCCTCTTTCCAGCACTTTCCAGCATGCTGTCCTGGTCTTGACTAGTAAACGATGACGCAAATGCTGCAGTACTGGTAAGAGACAGCCTTTTTTCAGCACTCTGTGTCAAATTTGACAGGTAAACGGCGACGCAAATGCTGCAGTACTGGTAATACGTGAAGCAGTCTCTTTTCAGCACTCTGTCCCTCTCTCGACTAGTAAATGATGATGAACATGCTGCAGGACTGGTAAGACGCGAAGCAACCTCTTTCCACAGCGCTGTGCTGCAGCGGCGACACCGCCAGACTTCCCGTGCTATTTTTCATCTTCATAAGCGCAGCTCCCTGCGGACAAATATTACGGTAGAATACAGTACAGTGCCGTCCTGTGACATGTTAACGAATAACCTTGCACGAAAGCGCTGCGTCGTATGGAGCAATCCCAAGCAGGCAGTAAGGTGTGGCGCCTTGCTCAGGAGCCGGCTGCCCCGTATCAGGAGCACTAACTCGCCAGCGCCGATGCCAACCCACACTGATTTTACGCTATAGGCACCCTATCACCTAACTAGTCAGGTACATATGCTTGCTGGGGCTGGTGCGGCTTGACCGAAGCACTCCGGGATGTTGCAAAAGAGGAGCGAGGCATTGCCTTCTCATTCCATGTACCGTATTGATCTACTGATTGGCTCGTTTTCTATAGCACTTCAGGAATACACCTTCATATTACTGGTAAAGCTAGCCATTGACATATCGACGATAAATATCGCGCAAGTCGTGCCTGCTACTTCGCACGCACATTTGCCCCCTCTTTAGTTTCCGCACTCTCCTCTCTGCGATCTTTTCCGACTTCCTAAGTGAGACCCTAAACCTGGTTTTTACAAGTGATGCAGGCGCTCAAAGATTTTGCCTCCACATTTCGACTGATGGCAAAATATTTCACCTGCCGCTTCCTTAGGGTTATGGTTAGATGGCGACAACGGGTCTTCAAGTGTGACCACCGCACTTCTGCTGGTGAAGCATCTCATTTCACCGACACGATCGGCGAGGATACTGAGGTGGGGGCACCATGACAGAGCGTCTGACCAGTTAGCTACCCATCAAATTAGGCCGGGATTAAGCCAGTAAGCAGAACAATTACAGTCCATCCGGCCGTTCCTACGCAAGGCTATCCAGAAGCTACAGAGCAAGGCACAAGGGATTTGACAGGCCATATATTGACTATATTGCAATTTGACTCAAAAGTTCTAATACAAGTACATTACAAGCAGCTGGATCAGATTCTAGCGGCGGCCATCTTTGCGAGTTTCTTCTGCTGCCGTCCTCTGTGTGCCTTTTCACCGCTCTCCGCCTGTCTTTTTCTCCTCTTCGCGAAAACGGATTCGGTCCGCGATCAGATGATGAGGCATGAGCCTGGGACCAAAACATTTTTCAATGCGTATCTGAATGAGATTGCCAACTTTGATCTTCAGAATGCTTTTTTGGAGGAGGAAAAGCAAAGCCAACTGTTCCGCCTAGCGATTTTTTCTCCGCTCTCAATTCGACCTGTGACTTAGTGGGATTCAAGTAAGCTCTGCCAAGCATCTTCAATGCTAGGTAGCATTAGTGCAGGATAGATCAACTCGCGTGGTACTTCAGGAAAGTGGCCGGTTGAGAGTGGTGAAAGCTATGGACACTTGGCCACAGTGCTGTGTCGGGTCTTGGTGCAAACTTGCGAGAAGCGAAGAGGCAACTCCCTACTTGTATGTGTGTGCCACAAACCATTGAAACGGGGCTCAAAGCAAGAGTGTGAACTGAACGATCACCTTGCTCAGCCCGTTACACATACTGCTAAAGGAGGAAAAAGCCTGCCCCAGCTAAGTCGAACCCATCACGCAAACCGACTCTTGCTGCAGTCCTAATAGCGCGGAGAAAATCCCGCCAAAACTGTGCACTTTCGTCCCAGTCCCCTCAGTGCCGATTGCATCCTCCAATCCTGTACCGCCAAGCGTGTGCTCAATCATGATATATGGCCTCGCATTGTGTAATGGCCCCTTGCGTGCCTTTACATCAACTTCTAAGCTCCACCTACGGCTTGGATAGCGTAGGATGTGTGGCGCCTGCTCGGCAAAAGAATTAGGGGCCATTTCTTCGAGATGTGCGATACTGAGTCTTCATGTTTCATTGACGTCTGGAGTTGGCGAGACAGATACCTTGCTATGATCCAGCTCCGTAATCATGGTAGAAGTAGCCTGATAAATTGTAGCTGACGCAAAATTGAAGAAAGGCATGAAAGTCGGTGCCCTGCGCAAGGTATAGAGCTTTGAGTAGGAGCCGACTGGGCGCTGCATGGCATCGGCTGCCCGGAACAGAATTCCAGAGGAAGAATCCCTGAACCAATGAGACGGACTCGCAAGAACGGTCGAAAGAGTAGAAGAACAGAGAGGTGATAGTACAAACTAGCAATTAGAATTTCCATAGGATCTAGCATATTCCTATACGTACTGCTTGAATATTACCGCAGGCGTTGAATTGTGACCTAGTCGCATGACCTCTGGCAGCTGGTCATACCAATCTAGATATAAGTGGTAATTTAGAGCAGATTTGCAGCTGTTAAAGACTGGACAGGCGAGTAAAGAAGTTGTAGAGATTCATGAACTGTTTCATTCAGCTTGCAAAAATATAGATACAGAGACCGTACATTTGAGAGTTGCTTGTGCGGTTCGAAATACACGTCTAGACAAGAATGAGGCTTTGAAGGGTTAACATGGTGTCTGAGCAAGTCACTTACCGCCGTCCGCATATGGGGCCCACGATGACGTCTCAAAGTCGGTAGAAATTACTGGCATGGGTGGGCAGTGCAGTGCAGGCAGGCAGTGTGGCAGCTCACCCTTCACCATCGCCCATGCGCTATGTTACTTGGCAGTGTCCCCTTCAGCCCCGTGGAGTTTTACCAGAACTTACTGGTTGAGTGTAAATGTTCCCCAGAACGTTTTTGTGAGGACATTAGGCTCAATGGCGCAGTCTTCCTCGCGTACATTGTGCAGACTCATTTCAATAGCAGCTGCATTGCATGCTCTGCGTAGTCGTGCTGTTCTCCGAGATAGTCTCTAGCTATCGAAAGGAAGCATGATAGCGCCAGATCTACAGTTGCTTATTCGATGGGTGGCCTGCGACAACGTCCCTTTCAACAAGCTAGAGAGTCCATACTTCCGCGAGCTTATGGGATACATAAACAGTGCTTTTATTAAGTCAGGCAGTCTGCCAACCCATAATACGATGCGTGAGTGGATTATAGGAGCCTTCAATTGTCACAAAGGTGTTTTTACTGAGCTGTACGGTCGCTCTCTCAGCCGCATTAACATATCATTCGACTAGGGCAAAGCCAATTCAACCAAGCTCAGCAGGACATATGATCACTGCCGATCGAAGAAAACAGATCGACCAGAGCATGGCTACAGCGCTGCAGAAGTGCTATGATGATGAGATGGAAGTATACGCTATTTTAATGGGAGCTTTGCAAAGCGCCAGCAAACGTGTGAACAGAGAGGGGTGATAGATGCAGCCCTCGAGAACTTCCCGAAAGTCTGGACCGCACTTATTACGAAAGAATTCCTGCCAAGCGCCCCAACTGCTAACTAGCATAGAGACGGCGAGTCGTCCAACCTATGCCAAGATAGCCTATACCCATGCTACAGCCGCCCCGGAAGCATCCAGACAGCGCCCGACTAAACCAGATTGCCACATACTAGTTCGCATGCCAGACCATGCAGCAAACAAACTTTCCAACTACAGCATCAAGAAGCACTTGATAGACAACTTAGCCCTCAATCCAATGAGTCTTCTCGATGCGAGACGCATCCCAACAGGCTGGGCAATATTCCCAGACTCCATTGAAACAAGGGACACTATTTTAGCGTCCTAAGATAAATGGCTCGCTGCACTGAAGGCATCAAAGGCCGACAAGAAGGATACGTGGTATACCTACGTCGCAGAAAACACCCCCAGATATCTACATGATTTAGCGGGCAAGCCAGTGGCCGTCATGGCAGCTGCCCACGATGAAATTCTCGCCCAGACGGGCTTCCTGCCCGTGGACTACCACATTCGCAGGAAGGATGATGGTACCACACCATCAACTGTGCTAGTAGTTTCCCTTAACCGGAAAACCTTTAGAATCTGGCGCCTTCTTGGTACGAGCAAGCCAGCACGCCTGATTCGACAAAAGAAGCACCAAAACCAAATACACCGCTGGCAACTTGCCCGAGACTCTGCCCCCGCAGTGCGGTGCAAAACGTCCCAGACAAACGCCAACGCTAGACCCGCTCCAATTACAACAGCACCGAACGTACTGTCTACGACAGAAGCAGCAGATCGTTACACCAGTAGCCATAAAATTTGTCGCCACAACCGACAGAACAAAAATGTTCCATGCACGAGAAGGCATGCATCCCGACGACATGGAAAGACGCAACTACCTAGCATCGCCAAAGCGCAAAAGACCAGCGCCATGATAACAGTGTGAAGAGATCGCAAAACAATGATGTGTATTTGAGATATTGGTTCTGTTGTGAGCTGCGTAGCTCCATTTCTTTTGCTGTTGCGAGGGTGAACCACCCCTTGCAGGCTTGAGGCAAAATGCACTATAGACGTGCAACGGACAATGAGATGATTCATTCCTGCCTGACGAGGTGTTGGCGGGCGGTGGCGGGGCGGCTCGACGACGACGAACTCAGATGTGCGAAGGACCGCCGTCGATACTTTCATGAGCAACCACGGCAAATTATACCGCGGACGGCCTCTCATTACATCTCTCTATGAAGCCTTACTTAAACGTAGTTTCGAAGAATAAACAAGTTGGTAGCTTTCCGAGAGCGTTGAGAGAGCTGTGCCTAATGCTTTATATAACACAGGCGATAAATAATTATTCGAAGTAGAGAATAGCTATAGGTGGGTATGAAATAACAACCGGCTGGGCTTTTATGATTCGCACAATGGACTTAAGACAGCACATTTATTATGTTAGTTTCACGCCACACCATATAATTGGATTACTACCAAATCCGTCCTGACGAAATTGACAGTAAAAATCAATTTCTTGGTTAGTAAATGAGCTGTTTTCTGATTGCGCACGAAAAAGTACTGGTGGCCTGTTTCTGTCCCCGACGAGAGCCCTGCCTATGACCGCTGGGAAGTTGCCGTCCCATCTACTAGTTGGCTATGTGCAAAATAGGATGAAGATAACGCTGGCAATCCGGCGCGACTTTCCGGCTGTTGCCGCCGGCTGGAAAATGGCATACTTACCAGAAGCGGAAGCTCATATTTTCCGGCGATCGTAATAGCTCAATCGCAACGATCAAGCTGGTACGTCTAAATGCTTTCGAGAAGCGCCTTCTGTTATTGCGTGTCTAGTTACAGTGGGTGTGTGTGTAAGTATGTGATTAGGGCGTGCTGTAGTGGGCCATTACCAAAGGCTTCTGCTGCACGCAAGATACCTTCCACCGGGCTTCAGCTTAATCCCCTCAAGGATGGAACTCTAGATGCTATCATCGCAGAAGCCCCTTGTCTCTGCCATCCGCCACTTGGCACAATTGGGCCGTCGCTGGTATAACCTGTAGCAAAGAAGCGAGTTTAGCACGTAAGCTAGTTAGTCTATTGCTTGTGCGGTGCAAATTCGTATTTGTCTGTGCTACCGTTGTATAGCGGTTGACGCCGAAAGCTCGGCTCGAAAATAAGGCAAGATTGAGCGCCGCCACGGTCGCATTTGCCACCCGTTTTATGAAATCATGGGTATTGGCAGCGAGTATCATGGACGCAGGTCGTTTAGGCTAGCTGGACACGAAGTTGCTATGAAATGCTCTGGTCGTCGATCTCATATCGATGCAATTTTTCTTCTATATCAGCCAGCACCAAGACAACACCTATATTTATACTAAGACGGCATTTTATTTTTGTTGTTCAGATGTCATGCTCCCACCGCCATGCCCTGAGAGGTCATGTCGGTACCTGTCAAAGCCCCCAGCCCTCAGCCCAAATGGTATGATAGCTCGCGAAGGACCAGACACGGGACTAATAATTAACCACCACCGTCGCCATTGCAGTATGACATCAGAAGGTTTTCAATACTTAAGATCCTGGCAAGTTCGTGCTTCACATGCTAATTATCTCTCATCTGCGGTGCGAAGTACATCATGCAAATGTGGGACTGCATGTGAAAGCCCCAACAGAATCGGCTTCCCATTTCGTCCAACAATATGGCATATTGATTCGACTATGCTCACCACACTCGCCACAGAACTGGTTATCTTTTAAAAGCTTGGCAACCCAAGTACTTTGCACAATGGTCTGCAAAGGACTCTTATGACGGATATTTGTACCTATTAGTTTGAGATCGCAACTACGCCGAGCATTTCGCGCCGTCTCAGTCCTGTTATTCACCATGATAGGAACGTCACTATGGGATTACATCTTCATTCGGGCGTGCATATTCTTCCTGCACCTTATCGCACCTGTCAGTATCATTTATACTCTGGTTAACGTGCTGGTTGGCCTTCCCTTCCAACTTCCCCAGGCTCTTCAGGTATGGCTCGCCCTCGAGGCTAGCTTTTATCTCGTCGTTTACCTACCGTACAGCAAATACCTACAGAAGGCCGCTAGGCACCCCGCACTACCCTGCCGTGAGGATCGCAGAAAGCTGTTCAAGCGCTGTCACGAAACGATTCCTGATCCGGTCCAATATCTGAGAAAATGGTTCCGAGGTGCGGCAGAGGCAGAAATCAAGAGAGAGAACGTCAAGGATTTCTTCCGGTGGGCTTTTTTGAATACGGGAGAAATTGAATCGGTAGACGAGGATGAACTGGAGGAGTATGTTAGAGAGATGGAGACGTTGTTGGGGAGGAAGTTACAGCCTGGCCGAGGCAGGGCAGAGTGCCTCAGGCTGACTCTCGACAAGGTTGAGATGTTGCATCGGAGCTTGACGTGGTATTCAGTAAGTTTCTACAGCATAAGAATCATTCTCTACAAATCAATCTGCTGATGTTCTCGTTGCAGTGTGTATTCATTGTCGATCTTTTGACGTCGATTTACTTGCGATATCACTCTTTCGACTTCTACCGCTCATCAGTTCTGCGCTCTTTGGCTATCTTCCCCGCACGCCCTCACAATGTCTTTTCCAGCTATCGCTCCCCTGCAGAATCCCTCACATACTGGCACCGGCCGCATACGTCGAAGACTAGACTGCCTGTCTTATTCATTCACGGCATCGGCATCGGTCTTTACCCATATATAGATTTTCTGGCTGACATTAATGCCAGTGGTGCTAAGCGTTCACTTGACGGGCAATTGGGAATCATCGCTATAGAGATTATGTCTGTCAGTTCTAGAATAACGGCAGAGGCAATGTCAAAAGAGCAAATATGCAACGAGATTTGTCACATATTAGAAGCACATGGGTGGGACAAATGTGTCCTAGTATCGCATTCGTAAGTGGTCATATTACTGGCGCTTCAATCCTCATGGACATAGCTATATACTGAACTTGACCTTCTGCAGTTATGGGAGTGTGGTTGCGGCGCATCTCCTTCGCAGCCCAAAGATTGTGCAAAAGATTGGACCGGTTCTATTTGTTGATCCTGTGTCTTTCCTCCTCCATCTACCCGATGTGGCGTATAATTTTGTATGCTTGCTCTATTTACAATTTCGTATCGTTTGCTAACTTCTGACGCTGAAGATCTGTCGGGAACCACGCCGGGCTAATGAATACCTCCTCTCTTACTTTGGTTCCAAGGACATGGGCATCTCCCATACGTTATTCCGGCGCTTCTTCTGGGCTGATAACGTCTTGTGGACGGACGACATTAGCAAGCACCGTGTGTCTGTTGTATTGGCCGGTAGAGACATAGTAACCGACACGAAAGTTATTCGGGCGTATCTTGAGGGCCCGAAAGATACAACCCTGAAGAGAAAGGCTTGGGAAGACGTAGTGTGGAGAGATGACGGGTTGGAAGTGGAATGGTTCCCACAGTTTGATCATGGACAGGTTTTCGATGATGAAGCGGGTAGAAGTAGGCTGGTTCGAATTGTGTGCAGCTTCTGCGAGCAAAGCTTGTAAGACGCACAGTAGTGCAAGCTGAACCGTTCAACTCGGAAGTTTTGGGACACTTTTATCATGCTATGCAATTCTCTTCGCTCCTGCTAGGAATAGCCTCCGATAGTCTTATATGAAGTATTCGGCGGCTCATATTGGTGACTAACTGTAGTTCTGTTAGGACTTGCCATATAGTCGAGTCCGAGCATGCGCATTCTTCTCCGAGTAGCTGGCGCTTTACAAGATCCCTGGGACGGTCATTAGGTGGCAGCCCTCCTTAGAGTGCGCAGATGTGCACGAAGTCCAAGGTAGCTGCAGGAAACTCCAGCGAAACTGCGCATCATGAATTCGAAAGTCGCAGTTTGGTGGGACACAGATCGGCTGTATTGATGCAATATCCGCTCCAAGTATCTCCGCAGATGGGCACTCGTCAGCCATGCCAATGGCCCAGATTCAAGTGCCAGTACCCAGGTCTAGAATACGGTGTGGCCTTGCATGAATCGGGGCCTCAAAGAGTCGGCCGCCCAAAAGTACCTTGATGAAGTGGTGGGCTATATCCAGGGCGATATTCTGCCTCTCACCGTTGAGTAAGGATGTTCGGTTATTTTCGAGTGCTGATACGTGCGACCGTAGAGGGTTCGGCAGTCGAAGATGCTGTCGGGAAGAGAAGTTTTTGACGAGCTTGCACATGCTTGACGATCACGTCGATGATACGAGATTTTGGTTTGGCAGCGAAGCTGCCTACCTCCTCCTTGTTGTCGGTCGTCGGCCCGAAAGAAGCAGCCCGTTCTGGAATCGAAACCGCGAGCGAATGCGGGGGGCCGATGCAGGGTAGTCCATGCGGACTGGTTGTAGCCACTGAGTGCTGACTGGACCAGACGCCAACCACATGTGCCAGTTCTCCGTTTTTGCATGGAAGTTGCCGGGTTGCCAGCATGTCCATAGGAGTCAGTCTCGCTCACAAAGAGAAAACTACCACACATGTTTCCGCCTTTCGCATTCATAGAATGAAATTGCAAGATGTGGGAGAGAAGTCTATTTATGCTACTATGTGTTGAATGCTACAGAGTAACTGCAAATGCCACAATCAAAACAAAGTACCACGGGTGCAACAATTTGACACCGCTGCTCACAAAACTCGAGGTAGAAACAGGCAGAGAAAGTGAGGTTGGACGGCTGTGACCGGAAGTGCCGCTGAACAAGCCATGGCTGCCCATATCAGTGCGACTCAGGTTTCGCAACCGTGAAGTGAACAAACGAAGAGGGCAGAACGCACTACTTGGCCCCGCCATGGGGGTGGGCTACTGAGTGGTCAAGAGTTGGACGAGTAGGAAGCCACGGGCCAGGTTGATCATCGTGGACGGGATCTGCACGTCATGGAACAGAGCAAGCAAAGTCGGCAAGAGCAAGGCAATAGACGAGCCAGAAGCCGCTATCATCCGACGAGAAGTGAGGCAGCAGGGTCGTAAGAAGACAGTGGACGGCGAGGAGAGCGAGCGTAAAGGTGCGGCAAAGGTGGCGAGGGAAACGCAGAAAAGAGATTCACAAGTGCAACAATGGGCAAGCGAGAGCCGCCAGCGCAGGGCGAATTGGCGGGAAGGCGCCGCCCCGAACCACTTGACCAGAAATTGTGCCAAACGATCTAGCTTATCTTGGCCTTTTCCGTGACCCGCCGGCTCAGGCAGAAAGTGGCCTGCGCGCTAGGAAATGGAGGGCCGGAACGACGGCCGGAAGGACATGGGAGGGTCGGGCCTCACCAGGCGGCTGCCACGCCAAAAATAGCTGCGGAGACGGTCATAGACCAGAGCCCCCCAAAAAAAGAAAAAAAAAGAAAAAAGGACGCCGACAAACAGGCGAAACGCTGCCCACTTGTGCGACATGAGAGAGCCGGAAGGCCGCTAGCCACCAACTAGCGGGTCAAGAAGCTGTGGGAAAGAAAGCCACCCAGAAGTTGGAAAATAAACGAAAGTGGACAAGTGGACAAGTGGACAACCCATCCTTGCTCACCGTGTATTCAAGCTGAATGAAGAGCGACCCTGCCGAAAGGTGCAATAGTAGAGGGCCCGAGAGCAGTTTGGCCATCCTAACCTGACGTACTGTGAGTAGGCGTAATTTATCTAGCATGCCTGTACCAGGACCTTCACATCCTCATATGGACTGCCGTGTGCGCATACCCTGAAAAGAGGCTTGCGGATGAAGGGCGAGCCCTTCTGCTCGAGCATTTCCATCCACATTGGCGCTTAAAGCGTGATGCACCTCAGCCACGGCCAATGCTGGAACCTAGAACAGTCCCCGGTCAAGTGAACCGGAGAGATGGTCAACCAGTGACAGGCACCAGGCGAGAGCCAAGCATGTTCGAGGCAATTAAAACAGCGTCAAGGCCAAAAGCACTGCCCAAATGTAGTAGATGTCACACGTTAGGTCATATGATGACTTCAAGGGCATGCCCTCTGCGATACGCCGAGCTCTTTCAGTCACCCGTGTCTGCCGCAGAAGTAACGACAGGCTCACCAAGTGTGGCGGCAGCAACAGTGGCACCAGCAGCCACAGAAGCAAGGTCAGTACAGGCAACCATAGTTCAGATAGAAGCAGGTCCCACGACGGCAGACTCAGCACTGGAGGGCCATGCAGAAGCGGCACAGGCACTACCAGAGCAGGAACTGGCAGACAACGCGACAGAAAGCCAGGCGTCGACTGCACAGAAGGTTGCAGACTGCATAGTGGTCAGTCCGGCAGTAGCAGAACCTCCAGGCAATGGCAGTGGAGACCAATAACAGCGTCAAAGCTCAGATACAACGACCCAAGGGCCATCTATCAGAGATATGTGGAAGCAAGAGAGGCTTGGTACAATGCGCAGCCCCGTGAGAGTATCAAAACTAACCAAGAGTATCGAAGAGCAAAGAATTTGCCCCAGCGGTACAACAAAGCGGAGCTTGCCTGGTGCCTTGATTGGAAGCAGATGGGCAAGCAATGCAGAATGGAAACAGGCTGTAGAGTCTGGACTAAGGAAGAGATGATGGCATATCTGGACTGGGACAGAGCAGAGGACAACCGGGTCGAGGCAATGGTAGTGGTTGAGATGGAAGGCAACCGTTTTCCAAGAAAAGAGGAATGCGGGAGATCTGGGAGGCTGCAGCAGCGGATTGTGCGGCACAAGACGCCCTATAGCAAGTAGGTAACTAAAATTTTGTCACAAAAACCGCTGAGACTTATGAGTGATGAGGGGGGCGCGCAACAGTTATTCAGCAGGGCGCGCAATCTTGAATGCGCGCCCGGGCGCCCCTGTATTGGCCGCCAGCCGTGGATGGATGTTGACGCTAACGCACGTCAATATGTTGATCAATCAGTGGATTTCGTGGAATGATTGTTCAGACTGCAAACCCATGAAACACATGGTAATTCGAGGTGGACAATCAATTCCTACAAGGCTCGCCAAGATAGACAAAGCAATCAATCCCAAAGTGACGATGAGAACTGTTTCTTCCGCAACGGAGTACTCTGTAGATCAGTGACGCCTTGATCTCGTCATGCTCATCGCGGGTTCAGTCGCTGAATCTCAAGACAGTCTCGAAACCATTCTCTGCCATGCTAGGCTCAAATGGGAAGGAGGGCCGTCAACAACATGCCGAGGATGTACTGAAGGAGATACAACTTCCTGACGACGATGCTGTGGGCATGAAGTACATATGTGCAGTTATGCACCATCAAAACCATATTATACCTGCAGCCTTGCCTGTGCACGATATTCTGAGCATTGCGGTCTTGTCTGATAAGTACAATTTTGTCGATGCTTTCAAATTCACAAGTGCAGCGTGGCTTCTTCCTGGTAACAGAGAAGCCGATGACTTGGTGGTTTTCGCAGCTGCGGCGGCTTTGTTCTAGAATGCGCAATCCTTCAAGTAATTACAAAGACACTGATACTCGACTACGACGGTTCTTATCTCGATCTTGTCAATCGAGATCTTGAGTCCGCTATGGGCTGGAGGGTAGTGTGTAAGTCATACTAGTTGCTGTATTGCAGAACGTCGCTAACTGAGTGAGATTTGTTGGAAGAGCAAAGAAACCGTGCCAGACTAAAGCTAGCAGAGATTCTCATACAGGGTTTCAACAGTGGATCGTGCTGCCACGGCTGTGGCTGGTCAAGCAAATACGCATATGCTTACCTACAGTCACTTGAAAACGCAGATCTCTGGCCAACCGGTATCCACAGCATCTCCAAGGCAATAAAGCAGGCTGAAAATATGCCTCAATAAAATCCGACGGAACCGAGTATTGCTTGCCAATATGAGTACAAGCATACGGTACCGGAATATAACCGCGATCGCCGTTGCGGTATAGAGCTTCTAATGGAGCAAATTGGGCTTTGCCTATATTGTGTGCGATCGGGTAGCACAAATTCTGAATATTGTTGGCAAACACACGGATAAGAAAAAGTAAATGGCCATAATAACACAAATTTCGACGCGAGCACTGCATTCTCAAGTGCGCTAGCGATTCCGTCTTGAATGCCTGGCTAACTTGTCTACAGATTGTTCTGCCTTGAAGTTGGCCAAACGGGTTGCCGCGTTGTTAAGCGTCCTTCACGGTCGCTGCAGTTCATTGTCGCGGTAAAGGGGATTTTTGAGCTGAGCTATCGCTTTGTCAAGGTCCAAAAATTGGAATGTCTCCCTGGAAGGCGCTGAGAACAGTGCCTGCAGGCTGCTGTGATCAGTGTATTCATCCGCCCAGCCTCGTCTCAGCCTGGGGTCATCTCAAGGCAGGCAACCCGCTATCTCCAGGCGAGAATGAGGCAGGCTGACAACAAAATTTACATGTCAAGGCAGGCTTAGTCAACATTGTGATTTGGCGCAGGCAGGCTTGGGCAAGGTTTCGATCAACGCAATCCATTCAACCTCAGCCATCAATTGAGTGAGTTGGCTGCTTAATAAGCTTTCCCTCCATTGAGTTGATCAATCTCGGCCCTGTGTTCGGCCCTGTGTTGAGTTGGTTGACGTTGCGTTGATGGTTGACGAGCCCCCCGTCCCGCGCTGCTACCTTACTCGCAATATGGGAACCCGACTCAACTGGTCAACCAACGCAGTGCTACTCCCACCCTGCCTCTTCCTCCTGCATCTGCATTGGCAAATCTCGAAGCCATCCTCCTGCTGCATTTTCATCCACCAGTTGTCCGGTCACTGTTTCGTCCGCCTTCTCCAGTAGCATTGGATCAATCTCCTCCACGATGCCCGCCTGCAGCCATGAACGCAGCACCTGGCAAATCGCAATCGTGCTTGACTCCATGACTCCGTAGAGGCGTCACCATGCGACCTGCGGCCGAGAATAATCTCTCGCACCCTGCGCTCATCGCCTGAACCGTCATGAAGTCCATCGCCATTCGCGATAGCCTGGGATAATTGAACCGCTGAGCATGCCAATACTCACGCGGATCACGAATGCGCTATCCGTAGGCAACAGGTCCAGTTGCCACCTAGCATACTCATCCTCTGCCTTGTCCGTGTCTCTTTCTTCTTCGAAATTTATCCGAGCTTCATCCTTGTATCGTTCGAACGGAGAGTAGTATTGTGTCCGCTGACGCTTTGCGGCTGGCTCATCTTGGTAAGCCAATGGGATATCTAAGTTCTTGTATTATTCATCCTAAACAGACTGCACTATATCTTTTGCTCTGGCGACCCAAGCCGGCCGTCCAGACCAAACGGTTTCGAAATAGCCCTATCGATAAGCCGGGTGCGATGCCAGTGACGTGTAATATATCGGGGTCTCGTCCAACTTGTTGTAGTACTCGTCAAGCTTCTTCCAGGCAAGATTAATGTTAACCTTGGAATGCTCGGGCTCAGGGTATTGAAGGACCATGGCTTTAGCCTTCTCCAATTTTGCCAGCAAGAATTCGTATCCCACGACCATATCTCACACATTGCCATAGGACCCAAAATGTCCCTGCCTACGCCTGCGTTGAATCCCGTCACCCTCAAGCGCCTTGACGGGCGTCCTCAAAGCTCTGCAAGATATTGCCAAACGCCTCCAGAACTGCCCAGTCCTTGTCGTCTAGTTCTTTCTCCTCTCGACATACGGAAAGCATAAGCGCGTTTGTACTCAGCCGCTTTGACCGCTTCAATGTGTTGTCCTTTCCCATGCTTGCTTGTGCTTGAGGACAAGTGCCTCCAGATAAGGTCGGAGCCTTAGTGCCCGCCGTATCATATACAGTTGCGACAACCAGCGCGTTTCATTATCGACCACCACGTTTAGAGGCTTTCGAACTCTCACACGTGGATCCTCAGATGCGTCAAATTTCAGCCGTTGGATACTGCGGAGAAGTGTGGTGAGCACATCTGATCGGTGGATCGCGACCACGAGTTGTGGAGCTTGCCAACGGGCCCTTTCTTCCGCCACAGCTCATGCTCGGTCGTGGCTGAATTATCTCCTTGTGGCGAACAGGATTCAAATGCGTTGGCATCCTTACCAAAGAGGATAGCTCTAACTACAAGATTGATTACGTGGCCAAAGCAACGGCCGCGTCGTCCCTTGCTGCAAAGATTGAATCTCTCCTCAATGGTATCCATGGCAGTGTCATTGTTTGGTGCGTTGTCAAGCGTAAAGTACCCGATCTTCTCGTTTGGGATCTCGTAAGACTCGAGTATGTCGATGATTTCGTGCCCAATATTAGCCCCAAAGTGTCGAACTGTCAGCTCAGGCACCCCGGGGATGAGCTTGCGTGCCTTGCCATCCTCATTTCGAATAAAGCAGGCAACCCCATATAGAGAGTGCTTATTTCGCGATCTCCAACCATCGAAAGAAATGTGTATTAATCCAAGGAGCATGCTTCAATACCTCGATAACCTTCTCTTCGTGTTTCTCGAACTCTGCAACGGCGCGCTTGCGAATCGTATCGTGACTGATATGCGCATCGGCGCTCGCAACCAAGGGGTTCAGGTACTCAAAAATGTCCCGCAACCTCTCATTCTCGGGCTCTCGGAAGGATTCGACCACCAGACGCTGGAAGACATTTTTGTCAAATTTCTTGATGATGTGGTTCGCAATGGCCTGCTCTCGGGGCACGCTTAGGTCGAGGTTGAAGGCATTTGTGATCGTCTGGTATCCCGTGGACGGTTTCTTTCGAGACTTGGCGCCGACCATTTTTCGGAAGGATCTAGAATTTTGTGGTGGTCCCAGAGATGCCGCTCGGTTTGTATTTCTGCTTCGTTGAGATAACGTGTAGCCACGGAAGTGTCCGAACAGCCGATCCTCGTACCGTCGACCGGCGCGAGCCTCAGCCGGCGTAAGCTTGGCCCGTCCTCGGTTTGCTGCTCCGGTCCGTCACCTCGCGAATTCCGTATCGATATCGTGATGAAGTTGAGTTGATTGATTACTAAGAAAAGATTGAGTTGAGTTGAGCTGGGTTGATTGACATCAACCTGGTTGACAACCTGGTGATTGACGTTGCGTTGATCGCCACCCTGGATTGTATTGAAAAGAAACACTCATTACAATAGGATTTTTTTTCTGGAAGTCTATAATTATACTTGTTATTGCTTTCACTATTATCCTCTACCATTTCACAATTTTGAGAGATGTAAAATCCAGCTACTAATACAAGTGCCACGGCTAATAATGCATTCTACTTTAACAGTATCGTTTACTTCCTTTCCATTTCCTCCGCAGCCGTGAGTTGCTTACCTTGAATATCTCTGCTTCTGTCTTATTGTGCCTTAGCAGTATTTAACCCTACCTAATAGCCGTAAGGTACAAAATCACTCAATCTCGGCTGCAGGTATGCTCTCAAGCTCAACCTTTCCAAAATTTCTTGTTCACCTTGTCGTCCTCTGCCGTCTGCCCGCGTTCGTTCTTATTTTTGAAACCGCGGTTATGCACTTCGACCTCCTCCTTCTGTTCTTCGGTTAGGTGCTTGGCCTCACCATCGCCGGGCATGCGCGAGTTGAAGATCTTCGGCTTGGAGGGCGTGCTGCGTGCAGTGCTAGCGAGAGGCTCGCCACCGGCCATGGTGTCTTCGTTGGGGTGGGCGTTGCTGCGGGCGAGGTATGGCGTTGTTCCGATGCAGCGTCGGGGGGTGAAGTTCATGGTGAAGGCTGTGGTGATGGTGGTGATGCGGAGCACGGCGCGAGCTGCGGAGCCCATCTTGATGAACGGGCAGCTTTGATGCGCAGGTTGCGTAGTGTTTTATGTTCGCTCCTAAGGCTAGGTTTCTTGTGATGGATTTTATATAAAATGATTGAACCGGAAATTGGAGGTTGCGAGGATGATGCCTTTGTTTTACTTTAACACGTGCAGTGATGTTTGGGCGAGGACTTCTGACGTTAAGGGAGCACAAATAGGCACACTCCCAGATGGGAGGCGGATTCTGGTAGCTGCTTCCAGTTACAGTGTTTGTAGATAACCTGCGGGGTGGCCAAATTAGGCCATGATGAGCATGTCAGGCTCGTGGGTATCTTCAACTTTTCCGGTCGGACAATCAGGATGACGTCACCATCCGCAGCAATGTTTATGACCGTGCGAACATCTTGTCCCCTTCCCTCTGTAATGTCAGCCATACCAAAAATTCTTCCGGATAATCGTTCTTGCTGGCCGGAGAAGGTAGTATTTGACAAGCAAAAAGTGATGTATAATCACAACACCGAGGCGGAAGTCTTGGTATCAAAGTAGAGGCGTTCGGGCATTAAGGCATCAAAAGGGGGGGCGGGGGGAGGGCGAGTGGATCACCCAAGCACAGATGCGGTTAGGTCAAAATCCGCCGGGGGGTCTCCACCTTAGCACTGAGACAAATATTCACCGAATAGGGGCATTTTACAGTCCTCGCTCACATGGACTTCCTACAAGAATACTTCACGCAGACTAGAAACCGTGCTTTCAGTAAACCACGCTTTTACGCTCGATTTCATGTGGCCTGGCTGAAGTTTGAGAAGTATTACCAGCTTACCGAACAGGCGCCCGTGTGCGTTGCTGGCATTCTCCTCCACCCAGCACTACGGAAGAGCTATCGGAGTGAGCAGTGGAAGAGGAACCCAGCCTGGTTAGCGGTGCTGTAAAGGCCGTAAGGAATGTTTGGCTGACGGAGTACAAGGGTTATCAGCTCCCTAATAAACAAAAGGAAAATAGTCAAGAAACCGACGAGTTTGAGCGCTGGAGCCGGAAGGTATACTGTAAAACGAGTGAGGTGAAGGACGAATTCGACAATTCGACCGCTTCATTGATGTAAGTAATTTAATACCTTCTGATGACTAGTTTCTGACAATACCTGGCAGAGCTCACAGGCTGGGATTGGACAACAGACTGCCTTGCAATGGTGGCTCGAACCGACTCAGCGAGAAAATTTCCCTTTACTCTGCCGCATGGCTATTGACGTATTCTCCATTCCGCCAATGTCAACGGAGACGGAACGAGTCTTCTCTGGCACAAGACGGCAGGTGACATAGGATAGAAGTAGCATGTCTGCTAAAATGGTGGAGGCAGCGCTGCCCTCAAATCAAATCACATCAAACTCCCAAACAAATCAAACAAATCAATGCCAAAAGATTTATCAAACAAACAAATATGTAACTTTTGATTTGACTTGCGTTTGATACATTTGATTCGACTCTGTATTTGTTCAGCCGCTGCACGTATGGGAGGCCGTAGAAAGCAAGACCTGGAATCCGAGACACGTAGAATTATCGCGAAAGAGAAGGAACGCATGACGACCCGGGCCGATGTGCTACGCACCTTTGCGGAATCCATTGCCGCTTGCGCAAGAAAATTCGACCACGGCTACGCACACGCCGTTGCCAACGACTTCACCAGGTCCCTATTCCCCACTAGAACCAGTTCCTCCACTCCGGAGACACCACAGGATACAGCAACAATCCCCCACAGATAAAGTTACCTACTAAGCAGAAACCAGCGGCCAGGCCGCTAACTAACAATCAGCTACCCCGTCAGAAATCAGTAAGCTTCGCCGACGTCACTAAAGAAGCGGCGCGTTAAGCCCCCAGGGATGTGCTCATAGCCCCCACCCGCCGCCAGCCCATGGCCGCCAGCAACTACACGGACTAACGAATTCTACTTCGCCTTAAATAGGGATCTAGCTTCTTTAAGAAGTTACCCTACTAAATTCGATCTGCCAAATTTAAGAAGCTCACGCCTAATGCCTAAGACGTTTAGGACATCACTAAAATAAATATAGGTTGGTTAGTTATAGTATGTAATAACGAGATCTAGAAGAAGATACTAGAGTTTAAGAGTAATAGGGACTAAATATGGACCTTATTATAGTAAAGAAGTAAGTAATATAGTTTATATACCTAATTAAAGACTTTCTAAGTAAACTACGCTCATATGACAAGACCATCATTGACTTAAACGTAACTATTACTGAAGAAATTATGGCCTAGACAGGCTAAACTCCTATGCAGTGGCACCGCTTAAGTAAACCTAGCATTAACTCAACGTAGACAACCCTAATTATATCTTTCGACAAGCCCGTACAAGGCAACTTTAGACTCCTTGGCCTAGGAGCGTACTCGTTCCTTATGACAAAACCCCAACGACTCGTGCAATGCCAGAACTGCTGGCAGTTCCACTCGCCCGTACAGTGTACGGCGACGAAGACATGCAGAACCTGCGGCGCCACTATGAGCACGTCACTGAAAACTGCCAGACAGCGCCAAGATGTGCTAGTTTCCACGGCCCACACCACGCAGACCATGAGCAGTGCTACGCACGACCCAAGAAGGTCGGTAACACCTACCACAAACTCTCGAAGTCGCAGAAAAGCCACGCTAGAAAACTCAGAGCAGACGATTATAGCCGACAGAACATGGAAAAACATGACCCAGTCACTAGACAACCTACGAACGCAGAACAATAAGACCACGACAAT